ATACAATGACTCTACATGTGGAGTCTACAATGCCCGCAGAGGTCATTGCAACACAATCTGAGTCTACAGTTATTGGAGAACGTTGTACCAAATATTCAGCTAGATGATTTGCTACCGTTGGGGGAAGTGTGCGAGGGCAGGCCTACGTAAGACCAAGTTTGCATAACAAATCTGTTTGGCGTAGGCTACGCTGCGTAGCGCATTTCCATTTGTAGTGTTGGCGATGGAATACAGATGAGATTCTCACGTATTGTATTTGTCCATTCTGAGCCCCATTCCTGGAATGGGGTTTCTTGGGATAGAACTTGAAGCCACCAACAACGTACTATATACCGACTTCCTTGACTATACCTGAATTCCGAAATATACCTCGACGAAGATTCCAACCTGAAAATCTCAGGCTGAGACACCCGCGCAACAGTTCACTAACTTATCCTGCTAGACTAGATTGGCTACTTATAATATTAGTCATTATTGAGCAGGCCAACTCAGTTGTCTCCATTGTAGTGAGGCATCTCCTTGGATGGCATAATTGCCCCCAAGAATAGATTCTAGTAAGGGCCTTACTGTAAGGCTTCTCCTTCGATGGCATAGCTGCCCCAGCGGAGGAGTTGATTGTAGTGTGGCATCTCCTTGGATGGCGCAGTTACCACAAACGAAGAACAAATTTGTTGTAGTGAGGCATCTTTTCGTATGGCATAGCTGCCCCAACCAGACTCAGAAATGAATACGCTATAAACGATGCGTTCACGAGGAGCAGTTTTCGATCCGATCGGCCTACAGCAACTGACCCACAACCGCATGGTGGATATGAGTTTACTACAATTGGAAACCAATTCCGCTCATTTCGACAGCATTTGGTTGACCAATTCCATACATGCGATATATTCGCTAAACTACCGTATAAAACCAGTGTCTCGATCGTGATATGCCAATAATGTTGGCGAAATACAAATTCACTCGACAGAATTGAAGCATCTAATTGTTGAGTTGAAAACAGTACAATTTAGCGCTAGGAATATGCAAGTGAAGGTTAGTTTTCAAGTGTACGCGCTACTGTGAACACTGGTAGGATTCTTCTTCTATTAACAGGCCTTCCTTGACCTTCTGAAATGGTCTTCGTAACGCCTCGGAGACTGCCTTGGTAGTACGCACTTTTAGGTGCATTGTTGACGGGAAGACATAGAAATTTCATTAGGATCTGAGTCGACTAGCTAGTGTGACACAGTTTAGTGGAGAATGAGGGCAATTGGGAATCTAGGCTTCCAGAGGAAGTCGTCCAGTGTTGAGTACAGATTTGATGGGATCGGAGGAATTATTCCGTTTCAGGCAAGGATCATTGACGATGATTATAAGATTGTGGTGTGCAGTGAACAGTTGCCATTTTTGCACCTGAAGGATTATCCATCATGCCTAGTCTCCTATCTGTGAAGCCTGGTGAAATCGTATTCCCCAACACTTTGTATCAATCGGTTAATACTACCTTGTCCCTGACTAATGTTGACGGGGACAAGAAGGCAGTGGCTTTCAAAATCAAGACGACTGCTCCTCGCAATTATCTAGTTCGACCCTCTTCTGGTGTTGTTGCTGCCGATGCTACTGTGGATGTGCAGATTATTTTGCAGCCGCAAACCTCGGATCCAAGCCTCAACACAGATAGGTTCCTCATTCAAGCTACTACTAGTGCCACAGGTCAGCCTCTTGAACGTGACGAATGGGCCCGCGTTGCCAAGGCGGATAT